GTCGTTCCTTCGAGTGCCAGATCCCGAGTTGTCAGGGCTCACATGGAGCTCTAACATAGTATGTTAGAGCTCACTGGGAGCTCTAACATAGCATGTTAGAGCTCACTGGGATCTCTAACATGGCACGTGATACCACGTTAGAGCTCCCAGAGAGCTTTAACATAGCATGTTAGAGCTCCCAGGGAGCTCCAACATGCCATGTTAGAGCTCCCTGGGAGCTCTAACCTAGGATGTCAGATTTCCCCAGGGAGCTCTAACATAGCATGTGAGAGCTCCGATGGAGCTCTAACATCGCGTGTTAGAGCTCCCATGGGGCTCTAAAGTAGCATGTTAGAGCTCCGACGACGCCCTCATATACGAGGTCAGAGCTCAGCTTATCTCACTAGCCTTCATGTTAGGTCTCACACCGAGTTCTAACAGGGGAGGTTCCACCTTTCCCCCGAGATGTCGTCGTCGTGCCCTCTATCCCGCCCTTCCCTCCAGGGGGAGCTCAGTCGCCGTCGCTCCCCTCTCCTCCATCCGCCCCTCTCCGCAGGTGGTGCTCGGCGACCTCGGCTGCGCGGAGATGGCGGATCCCCGCGGCAGGTTGAAGAAGAAACTGCGCTACAGCCCGACCTGCGATGACCTCGGAGTGCGCGCGCCCGCTTGCAGAGCGGTAGACGTTTTCTTGGGGAACCAGCGCTACTCAGAGGACCTGGACACGTGGTCCATCGGGTGCCTGATGGCGGAGTTGTACACGCGCAAGGCGTTGTTCCAACCGGGGCCTTGCGGCGCGCTCGGGCACCCAGGGGTGCACCCGAAAGACTTCGTGGTTTTCTCCAGGGAGGTCTTGGGGATCCCAGGCAAGGAGCCAGGGTCGGGGGACCTCTGCGATCACGAGGGCCAGGAACCCGCCCTGTGGCTGGACAGCCTGCCTTTCTTTAAGAAGTGGTTCAAGCGGTCGGGCGAGGATTGGCTAAAGGCTGAAACAGCGAAGGCACTCGACGGCCGAGGGCGCTGGCCCGTTGCCGAACTTGCAGGCTGCCCCCCAGACTTGTTGAAGGCCGCCGAGAGCTGCCTGCTTTGGCACCCTGGCGCCAGAGCGACAATCAGCCGTCTAAGGGCGCGTCGCTTCCTGCAGCCGGCTGGCGCCCAGCTCGACGTGCGCATCTCCATGGCGCAGGGAAAAAACGGCACGGGCACGATGGCGGAGGCGGAGCTGGACCCAGACTTGCTCCGCTTCTTGCAGAGAGACCCGCGCCGGCAGAACTTGGCCAAGGAGCGCCTGGACACGGGGGCAACCGTCTCCACATGCGTCCGAGGCGACGAGGCGGCAAAGGGCTCGAAAACAGAGGTCGCAGGCATCGTGGACGACGAAAGCCCCCCGAAGTGCCGCAGCCTCAACAAGGGCGGGAATGTGCAGATCACCCCCTCGCCCCACATGGCCGCCTTCGTGCGAGCGCTGCGGAAGAAGATGCGCCCGTGGCTGCAACAGCTGGGAGACAAAATGCGCGAGGCTGTCAATGCCGACGGCATGCCGCCTGCCATCGTCGAGCAGAACGGAAAGCCCATCATGACAGAGCACTTCGCCGACAACGCGTTCGCGTGCGCATCGGTCCAGCTCGTGCAACCAGGCGCGCGGGGCGATGGTTGGCACACAGATGGCGGGTGCTCCCCGTTGCACGCGGCCGCGACGCTTTTCGGAGCGCGCTCCGTGCAAGTGAGGATCCCAGGGGTCCTGGGGGCACATGATGGGGCGTCGCCCTCGAGCACAGCCTCCTGCGGAAGGGTCGTCACCCTCGAGCAAAAGCCTGGGTCCTTCTACGTGGGCACCCTGTCCTCCCTCGAGCGCAACGTGCACCGCCGCGCCTCCGCGGACTGCCAGGACTGTTTCGCGACCCACCACGAGCTGCAACAGCGCGTAGACGACAGCAGGCTGCAGATCGCCGTCATGATCCGTTTCGACGTCTTTCGGGAGTTCAGGGCGCGCAGGATTGACGCCACGCCTGGCCCGAAGGAGTTCTTCAACGTCGTGAACCACGTCGTGGCCGATCACCTGGCACGGGTCCCCGTGGCGCTGCCCGACCTCACGGAGGTGCTTGACGAAATGCGGTGGCCCGCTTCCACGGAGGCTGTGGTGCTTTCCGATTCCGATTAGGCTGCAACAGTATCCGAATCCGATTAGACTGCCACAGTACGCAGCACGGCCCGCGCAGTCCGAAAGAAGGTTCTCGTCATCCTCATCATCATCAGCAGCATCATCATCTTCATCGCCATCATCATCGCAAGCATCGGCTTCATCATCATCGTCATCATCATCAGCATCAACATGTTCACGCCGCCATCATCGTCATGCGGGTCATGATTTAATAATCATCATCACTACATGATGATGACGATGACGAGGAGATGATGACGGATATTATGATGATGACGATGATGAGGAGATGGTGGTGATGATGGCGACGACGCGGACGATGGTGAATATCATGACGACGATGATGACGATGATGATGACTAT